CACACACACACACACACACACACACACACACACACGATTTGCCACCAACACTATTTATGGTGGGGATGGTGCACTGCTGACCTCAACTCGGGAAGCTGTACTCAATGTCATTAAGATGGAGAAAAGTTAGTGCTGTTTTACCTCCAGTCCCGTTCATGGATCTAATCAGTTAAATCTCTCCAGCTCCTCTATGTCTCTGATGACTAGCACCTTTGCCTCCTCCGATGTTCCATTCAGCTTAATGAATATCTTGCAACTCGAGGTCCATGTAGCCTGGATCTTCCCTTGCTTCTTCAGTAACCAAGCTTTCCTAGCAATATCCGCATTCCGTTTTATCAGATGTTCATTAATGTAGACGTCCGATCCTCTCAGCTTCTTCCCTTGTTTTAGCAACTCCGATTTGTGTTTACAGCTGACAAACCTCATGATTATAGCTGGTTTGTCATTACTGCTTCTCCTCGGCAACGGATGACAGATTTCCACTGTGTTCTTGTCAAGCTCTTTTCCCTTGGACAGTAGAAAAGCAGCCACTTGTTGCTCGACAGAATCCGACAGTTTCTCATCAGCGACCCCCTCTACCTCTGCTGTAACTGCCCTTGCGTACGAACGAGGTTTAACACGCAGGCCGGTAATGATCACAGTATTTTTCCATGTGTACTGCTCCAATTCCTAACACTTGGTTCTCCAGTAAAGTTATCCTCTTATACTTCTCAGCATTCTGAAGTTTCAATGATTTAACCTCATCAACCAGATCCAAAACTGTTTTCTGCTGGAGCCTGACAGCAGTGACCTCTTCTGACAGAAAGTCCAGTGACTTTCTAATTTCATCCAGATCTTCCATTGCCAGATTCTTTTTTGGTCCCATCCTGAACGCGTTGCCACCAGTTCAAAAAGAATGCACATGCATTAACTTCCTTTTGCTTTGATTGAAGTTTCACTGCAGCCGTGTGTTTGTCTGTTTGCTCCTCTGTCCTGTTTTTTGTGGATTATTGTTGATTGAATAGAAGCCAAAGGCTTGAACAGGTGATCCACTCAGGCAAAGTCACTCATCAGGAGGAAGGCCAAGGCTGATGAAGATCCATCAAATATCAGCTCTTTCCAAAACCATCCAGTCTTTTAGTTCAGTAATACTTCTTGTCAAACGTTGAAATTATTTGTTCTATGAAAAATATCCAACATTACTTGAGGAAAAATTTGAAAAAAGACAGTTTTTGTGAGAGCCCAAGTCACCAACGTAACCAAAACAGTTACAGTCTGGATCCAAAACTATGTCCAAGTTCATAAATTGTTTACGTCCTGGTGTATGCTACCTATTCACATTTATGTTGAAGATCACTGATATTTATCCAGGTCCTCCATCTCTCTGATGGCTAACACCTTGGCTTCCTCTGCTGAGCCATTCAGTTTGGTGTACACTCTACAGTTTGCAGTCCATGTTGATTGTATTTTTTTCTGTTTTCTAAGCAGACGAGCCTTTCTAGCTATGTCAGTTTTTTTATTATTTTTTTGTAAGGTGTTCATTTACATATACATTAGTTCCTTTAAGCTTCTTACTTTGTCTGAGGAGTGCATTCTTATGTTTCCTGTTTGTAAATCGTATTATTATGGCCAGATTATTGTCTTTGTTTCCTAGTGAGAGGAAGAGGATGGCAAGCCTCGATGTTGTGGTTGCTTATGGCGATGCCTGTATTATTAAAGAAAGCCACTATCTGTTGCTCCAGGGACTCCCGGTCAGCTTCATTACAATCCCCAGTATCCGCTGGTGTCACAGCCCGGGCGTACGGCACTGGCCTAGTCTCTAACCCACTGATGATGATGTCGTTAATGCGGGAATATTGCTTCAAGTCAGCCACCCGACATTCCAAGAGCTCAATCCTCTTGTCCTTCTCAACTTGTTGTCTCTTTAGTTCCTTAATGTCCCCCATTAATTCCATAATTATATGTTGTTGTTTTGTATCTGAGATTCCCCCTGACATAAAGTTGAGAGATTTCTTTATCTCTTCAAACTCCTCTTCTGTCATCCCATTATTTTGCTTGGCACTTCTTGGTGGCGTTTTATCTAACAAGCAGGCTGATGGCTTAGCAGGTAAAGCAGGAAGCCGGTAGGTCAAGCTGCTTGGAGGTAGCTGGCAGGCTGAGCAGCCTGCCAATATGTTCTTTTTTTACTTCAGATTCATGCAACACAGCTCAAAATAAAATGTGTTCCAGTGATATGTCTCCAATTTCAACTTGTAAAACTGGAATGGACCAACAGTACAGTTCTAAAGCTTTGTATAATGAATTGTTATTGTTTTAGTAAAGTTCTGACAGTGATGATATGAATGAGCTGCTTCACCTGGTTTTAATTAATGAGTTGTTAACATTCTTTGGCTGAACTTGACAACAAGTTAATATAATCAGTTAGTTTAAATAATCCCATCAGTTTCATTGAAGTTATTCTCAACTCTGTATGACTGAGACCTTTATTTATAAATTATAATAAACTTGAATCTAAGTGCTTCAAATTGTTATATTCTCACTTTCACATTTAGGTCTGCATTTATTATTTTTCTTAACTGCTTCACAGTAAATAGTCAGATAAAAATAAAAATCTGGTCTTCATTCAGAGGGCCTATCCTAACCTGCTGCATGTTGTTGACAAGGCAATTATGCTCTATTGTCTGCAGGCTGTCAATTATGAGCTAAGCTCTTTAGCGGTTTTACACCAGCTTCGAGTTATTGATACAGTGTGATCATCATGACACACAATAGGCACGGTTTCATTTTGGGATGTTTGTTTGGCAACAAGCTCTATTAAATAACTACTTCTTTTAAGTAATAAGAAATAATTTAAACTTTCCTCTCCTCCTGTGGTCGCTCCCTTTACCTTGCATTGACAGGACTGAAAGAATACTTCAAGTAAGCCATGGCGTTTCTCATGAATCAAATGTTGAGCAGTAAGTTGAAGAGTTTTTCCGGAGGAGGTGGTGGAGACGACAGTAAAACAGCGGCAGGTGGGATGGAAACGGCCGAGTCCAAAGGCATGTCCAGGGAGGAGTTTGAAGAGTACCAGAAGCAGCTGGTGGAGGAAAAGTAAGTGTAAAGATGCTCATATGTGACCCATCATATCGAAATGAGGATTAAGTCAAATTTGGTCAAAATGTTCTAATTATATTTTCAGATTCCTGCTTTAAAAGCTACATTTTGACACCTGGATCATTCTGATATCATCAGCTTATCCAGAGATATGACTTCATTTGTCTTGTTGGTTACGTTAATACATTACTGTTTGGACTGAATCCTAATTTTAGGTAAATCTATTGAGTAATTTTTGATGTCAATATAAAGAGGAAACCTCAAATATTATTTCCATATTAAGATATCAGAGTTGGAAAGAAACAAAAGCATTTCTAGCTCACAGGGAATAATTCAAAATTGGAAGGTGTTTTTCCTCAAAATCAGGTTTTTTGTTGTTACTTGTCAAAAAAATGCTTCAATTTTTTTTAGGATTATATTTCATACAGTTCATTCACATAATTCATTGACGAGGCATTAATTCATTGTATTTTGACAAAATGCAATTTTTGCACACGTTTAAATCAAAACCCCATATCTGCTTATTTCCCATTCCACTTTTGGACTTAATCCTAGTTTCGATGTGATGGGTCACATATTAGAATAGAATAGAATAGAATAGAATAGAATAGAATAGAATAGAATAGAATAGAATAGAATAGCCTTTATTGTTCCTCAGTGGGGAAATTCAGGTGCGTTAGTAGCAAAGTGATTTACACAAGGTAGAAATATGAAAATAAAAACAAAATACGAATAAAGACGTAACTAAAAAAAGTGCAACACATGCATGTATTTTACCTATATTTGGGTATAAAGTTCTGACTCTTATCAGTGATTTTAAATCACATAAAGCTTCAACATGTAAAATAATTAGAAGTGTGCTCTTTCATGGATAACAGTCAGATGATTGATAGACTGAGAATAATTATTGCTCAAAATGATCAATTATAAGTTGTGATTAGTAATTCTTACAGCAGGTTTGTAATTCATGTTTGTCTCTGAGCTGTAAATATATTACCAGCACAGATTGAGTTTAGATAGTTCCCTGACATAATAACAATCATCTGTGAAAATCTGTAAAAGCTGAAAGATTTCTGGAAAACTTTCAACAAACAATGCCCAGATTAATATTAAGATTCAGAAAAATATTCTCAGGTTTGCTTGTTTCTAGCTGATCTTAATGAAGAATGGATAATAAAAGCAGTAACATGGTTTTGGTTTCTAGCTTGTCTGAATTTCAACATTGTTTCACCTTTTTCTTGTTTACGTGGTTTTAATTCACTGTTCCAGCTACATTTTTGTCATTATGTAAATAGATCACTGTTTTCCTGCATGTGTAACTGTATACAGTATATATATATATCTGTTAATAGCTTCTGGGTATTTTTGCTCCACCATCAGATTACTTTGTGTGGGTGTGTATTAGATGTAAGGCATGTGGGGCATCAGCGGATGTGGGCCAGGTTTACAGGGTAGCTTTAGGTATTTTCCTAAGGCTTAAATTAGCCAGAGAAGCAGATTAAGCTTGTGTCTAATAACTCGTCAGGACAGAAGCCACCATTAAACACATCTCCTACCCAGTGCGTTTTAAAACAATAATTATTTAATCATCTTACAATCTCTTCTACGGAAGAAGTCTTTGTTATCTTTAATTAGGTGAAAGGCAAATTTTAACGACGTTAACGTCTTATTGTCAGTGAGAAAAGGTGAAGCCAGAGAGGCTTCCCCTTTTCCCTTCCCCTCTCCCAGATGGTTTTAGGTGTTTCATTTAGCAAGTGGTTTTTTTTATATAATGTATTGCATAAATTCAACATTGAATTGCAAGACAACAACAAATTTTTTTTGTAGATGCATGAACTTCCCTAGAAAATAAAAAATTGAAATGTGCAACTTAATCAATATTAACTGATGCCATTGAAGAAAAGACACGTACCTGAAAACTATGTGTAGTTTCTCTGTTTTTATTTTTATTTTTTATCAAATTATGAAAGATCCCTGCTTTATAGGATGTAACATTTCACTTCTTTAAGTTACTGGTTGTTTAGATTTGTTTCTAGCGTCCAAAGCCAGATGTTTGCTGTTAAATCAAGCAAATTAAAAATGAAGTTAATCACATTTTTGTAATTCTGGTTTTAAATTGAATAAATTGAAGTTATCAGAACTTTTACACAAGTTTGAAAGAATGTGAGTTTACCTTCTTTGGTTCTGTTTTTGTCAGTGAGAATAAAGAACAAAAGAGTTCTTTGTGTACCTTACCTTACCTTACCTTACCTTACCTTACCTTACCTTACCTTACCTTACCTTACCTTACCTTACCTTACCTTNCCTTACCTTACCTTACCTTACCTTACCTTACCTTACCTTACCTTACCTTACCTTGCCTTACCTTACCTTGACTTACCTTACCTTACCTTACTTCAGGTAATTCTGACATTGTCAGTTCACATTTACAGCACCTCTGCTGGGGTTGAACAAGAGAAAAGCGCAGTCTTGGCCAGGACAGTGAGATTTTGTGCCAAGCTGCAGCTCTAAAAGATGCTAATCTTATTAGAAGAGACCACTCTGAAATAGGCACAGGTCAAATCTGCCAACTTGGAAACTCCCGTATAAAACTCTGATAATGGCATTATTCAGATAAACTGACAGAACTGGGCTAAAGACGTGAATGACGTCAACTCCCAAGTTCTAGACAGGCAAATCTGGGCAGAGGAGGTCAGTGAGTCACGGTCAAGTTACCTAAGAGACGTCTTTTTTTTTCTGTTTCTACTTAGCCCTCTATGGCATGACTTTTTATTTTAGTAAAAATATATTAGACCCTTGTTTATAGGAACTTTGGGGTCCCTATTTATATATTGATCATAAAATGTGACACCCCCCACACCACCACCACCACCACCAAGATTTTGATTTTTTGCTTCTGGGCAACAACATGCTCTAAGGGCACTAAAACGCCAAGGTTTTTCTTCATTGAATAATAATGGAATGAGGAAAAAACAAGCAATAAATGCATTATTTTTTATTTTAAAAAACAACAATTTCAGTGTAATTTATTTATGATTTTTAAGGGGTTTAGTGATGTCACACCAAATGGCTTATAATTTGACTACTTTTCGACAGTCTCCATGTATTGAGAAAATGACGTGCCATGTTAGTGGGAGGGGAAGCATGATATTGTCAAATTTTCTCATTTTTTATATTTTTCTCACAATCAACAGACAGATCATTTGTTTAATAAAATCCCAGGAAGTATAAAGATGAAGTAGGTCATATACCTGTTCACACGTTCACGTACATTTGTATTTCTATCCTTAATGGGATTTTTAACTGATTTCCATTCATTTCCAGTTGTTTCTATAGTCTCACACAGACCTCTTACCCTAATCCTACCCCTCCTAGTACATACTGTACCTAACCCTAAACATTACCTAAACTCAAGTCATCTTAGTCTTAAACCTCACCCCCAACCCCAAAATGGAGTTCCACCATATTAGCACCGGACTTTGGTCTCAATAAGGTTTACTGGCTTTGGTCCTAAAAAGATGACACACACACACACACACACACACACACACACACACACACACACA